AGTTTTTGAAATCAGTCACGAAGTTTTAAAATCTTACAATTTGGTCACTCGCCTGGTTTTTGGGATGTTACATAACCTCCATCGGCCACTTGCTTCAATAAATGTAGATCAAAGTCTGTATTTTTTCCACTAAAAAATTTAAGAACGTCTTCTCTATATAAAGCTTCATAATGTTAGTATGAAGGCATATTTGGTGAATCATCTTCTCGAGTTAAAACAACAACATGATAGTAATATTTTTCATGGAAATGATCCTGAAAATGTAATCCTAATCAGTAGCTTTATGAAAAGTCTTGCAGATCGACTGCGCTTTGACGAAATCGAGGATGGAATTAGAAGCAACATGAAGTAAAACCTTTGTTAACATTTTTCTCGAAAATTCGACAATATTAAAAATATTTTTTTGTTATTTTGATTTGAAACCGATTTAGGTAACTTTACAAAATGAGTGGGGATTTATAAAAAGTCTTGAACCCATCCTGAAGCATTTTACATCATGGACCTCACTTTTCCCAGGACGCGAAGAAGCGAATGATGATGACATTCCACATGTTGCGCCTTCTGTTTCTTATTACCGACCACTATCCCACTTCACAACAATTCACATGGAACCTTTAAATGCTCTCGACTTTCCAAAATTCCCATAGATTGAGGAATACAACAAACATGGTGATGATTAGCTCTATGTTGGAATGACATTCAAAATAAAAGAACTCATCGTACTACAATTAAAAACTACAATATATGTTGGTTAGTTACGACAATTGTGAAAAAAAATAGTCATGAATAAGTACATCCATGAATGCATCCATAAGTCAAAAGATGTATTTGGAGGGCTAATGTATCACTCTTGAAGAGGCTAAACAATCTATGGAAGCTAACAACATACGAACAACCTCATACATGCATCGCCAGTAGGCTCACTTAGTATCATCCAAACTTAGATGTTCACGTTCTTTATGATTCCTTCATACCACTAATCAAACCAAATCCACGCATTACGGTTTCTAGTTGTATTGTTGCAATCACATCTCAGTATGGCTACACTGTTAACTACCACAAAACATGGTATGTTAGGTATCATGCTCAACAATAAATGTATGGCCAATGGGAAGAATTATAAAAAGAGTTATGGACATGGATGAAACTGATGAAGAAATACATATTGGGTATGGTCGTCAAACTATAAATTGTGTTGGCGTACGAAAATAACCATGTCGTTCAAGGTCCCTGCCAGTTTCAGAAACTATTTTGAATATTTTTGCAGTGTGTCAATGCATTTTGGCACTGTAAGCCGATGGTTCAAATCGATGGCACTTGGTTGTGTGAAAGATATACACAAATAATATTGTTGACAGTGGCACAAGACGACAATAGGAAAGAAATTCTCATCGCATTCGTAATTGTCGAAAAGGAAGATATAGACTCTTAGGAATTCTTCTTCAATTACTTGCACAAATATGTTCTATCACATGTCTTGCGAGAGCGTCCTGCTAGGATATGTCTTATTTCTGACAGAGGCAAAGGGATCGAATACTCAATGGAGTGTATGGGATAGTCTTAGAAGGCTTCCCATATTTATCACTGGTATTGTTAATGCCACATTATCGCAAATTATTTGCAAAAATTTAGGAACAAAGATGAATGCGTAATGGTGCATCAAATGGTTATGTCTTTCAATTTATTTGGATTCATATATTTTTTATTTTATTATTTATAACTAACTGTTGTATTTTCAATGGGTAGGCCACTCGCATTTTGCACGCGAGGTTAACAAGTTATTTGATGAAATGAGACACACGAATCAAGAATGCAACAACTATCTTACTAAAATCCAAGGGATAAATGGCTTCGGTCATTTGATTGGGGCAAACGATATGGTCACATGACAACGAACTTGGTTGAGGTAATCAGTTCATCATTGAATGGAATACGACATTTCATATCACTTCCACTATCAAAGTGACATATTATCATTTGACAACCATGTTTGCAACCTTGTAAAGATAAACATATGAGTGGATTGCAGGTGGTCATAGAATCCACCCAAACCTCCATAAAAAATTATAAGCCTTTCTGCAGCACTCAAACGCTATGAATACGACACGCGTCTCTCCTGAACAAATCAATTTTGTATTTCAAAATATTCCAATCCATTCGAAGACATAAAACACAATGCATAAGTCGTCAATCTACGTGACAGAACATACGACTACGGAATATTCCAAACATTCAAATATTTGTGTATGCATATAATCACCGGTTGTTATTCTGTAAGGATTGACTACGTGCAATTCGTTGATCGCTTGTACTTACTGGAAACCGTATCCAATATGTATCGGTACGAGTTTTCTCTGATTGGAAATGAAAGGGATCCAAATGCAATTGATGATGAACTTACAATATGCCAAGATTTCTCACTACAACGCCAAAAAAAGGTCGTCCGCACTCAACGAGAATTTATTGTGACAAATATTTGGTCAACTATGGAGAAAGAACTGGACAGTCGAAGCTTTGTAGTATCTGTAGGAATCTCGAACACTCGAAGAAAAAATATCCTAAACGATCATACCCTAATCTCGATTAGTTTGTTAATATCTTCTTCATGCAAAAACCAGGCTTTATAATGATTTTCAATGCGATTTTTATCCCGATTACAATGTCTAATGTGTCGATATTACTCTCAATCAAACAATCAGTTACAATACTATACATTTGCTCTTAGAAATTATGCAATTTTTAATATTAACTACCAGAAAAACTTCTTGAACACGCTTACCCAACCATATTTCCATTTCCTTCATGCATAAAACAAGCATTGAAACCATTTTCAACATGTTTTTTAACCTACTTGCAATATCTCTTATGTCTCTATATTGGTCTCAATTGAAAAAATTTCGAATGCTACATCTTTAATCTTTTAATTGTCCAAAATTTCGAGATTATATACCCGAATATGCCCCTTGAACATGCTTATCAGCACATGGGATTTGTGCAGGAAAATTCGAAAAGACCTCATATTTTGGAAAACACGAGGTATCTTGAATACCTCTCACGATAAATTTCACGAGACGATTTATTTTCTCTAGAACCTCGCTTTACGCAAAACACGAGGTATAAAATATCAATATTAAATTACGTACTCTGAAAATGTCATCCACGCCAGACACTCCTCACGCATGTGGAATGTGAGGCATGTTCTTGCGTTGGATAGGGCGTGAGGTAGTCCTACATGTGTTGTTTGGGAGGTAATTTTCTAACAAATCTGCTAAGGGGTTACTGTTCAAAAAATAATTAATGGTTTTTTATATAATATTGTCATAATTCTTCAAGTATGAACCAAGTATTTGAATAATTAATTAATTGTTATTATTTTTGAATTTTTGAATTTTTGAATTTGAGGATTATATACTCTCTCGTCCTAATTTTTATATCCATTATTGATTTTTCACGTAGTTTTAGAAAGAAAAAAAGTTTGTGTGAGAGATGTGTTTTAAAAAAAATTAAAATGATAATTTTATCTTGGAAAAGTTAAATTTTACTTTATTGGGAAACTAAAGAAAAAGTGATAAAAAGAGAAATATGACTAATAAAAGTTGTTGATTTTTTTAAATGGACAATTTAAATAAGATAATTTTAAAACATAAAAAATATAATTTTAATCGGATATAGAAAATATATAATAAAATAATTACTAGGTATATTCTTCCCAAAATGTTTATATCAACGCGTGTTTAGAATTAATTTAAACTCAACCTTTACTTACTAGAATTTTACTTATTAACTATATTTGTTAGTTTAGGGAATAACTCAAGCTGTATGAACTTTCAATTATAATTCTATATTTTTCTATAGTTAGTTACGGATGAAAAAAGTTAGTCATTCCACATATTTTATATTAATTCATTTTAGGATCAAGTACACAAATAGTCTTCGAATTTGGGCTATTGTTTTGTTGAGTCTCTCAACTATTAAAAGTTACAAAATGATGTTCAATTATAGGGCATTTCTTTGTTGAGTATCACGACTATTAAAAGTCATAAAATGGTCACCGGGCTATCCACATATTGTAAACTCATCATTTTCGGTTAAAAAATTGACGATTATTTGAGTTGGACATCAACCTGTTGACTAGGATATAATAAAATATGGTCCTAGAATCTCAAATGACAATCATATCTTAGTCAGCATGTTAACGTCCAACTCAGACAACCATCAATTTTTTTTAACAAGAAAGGATGAGTTTGGAAAATATGAATAGTTAGGTGATCATTTTGTAACTTTTACTCGATAGACTCAACAAAGCGACAATCTATAGTCTGAGGACCATTTTATAACTTTTAATAGATGGAGGGCCCAACAAAGTAACACCATATTGGTTGGGAACCATTTATGTACTTTACGCTTCCATTTAAATAAGTTTCTTTTTTTGAAAAAAAGAAAAATAAAACTGATGCACATGATAGGGTACGCAATATAATTATGTTAAATATCTATAAATTTTTAGCGGCCGAGATACGAACACTACAGAGTTTGGTCTAAGTGAGCAACCATTGAGCTTCCAAATTAGTCTTGAGCAACTATCGTATCAAACACGGCCACGCTGACATTGAAGTCGACGAAGGGACAAGCTGCCCAAGCAAAAGGTACAAGAAAAAATGGATATTAAGACATTATTCTACAGCAGAAAACATTCATGGTCGTCAGCCAAATAGATAGAACACAGAAAAATAAATGTCATTCGACAACTTCATCGGATTGTATTATTAAATTAGCGGATCTTAAGCAATTAAATTAGTGGTGATAATAAGATACATAGTTGGTTTGGATTTCAAGATGAACACGAGAATTAAAATATAAATCTAACTAGCACTGCAATTGAAATACGTCACCAGTTAACCTAAAAACCAAAGAAGACGAAGAGCTGCCTCCTAGGTACCAACAGCCAACTTAGGCCTTAGCCCTTAGCTGCCTATAAAAATCATGGTTCTGAAATCAAGCTTCCTCGTTGCCTTTCATCAAGTTCTCTCCCTGTTAGAAACCTTGATTTCTCTTCTCTTCAATTAATTTGGTTCTATTAAAATTATAGAAGGAGCACTTTATCCCTTTTGATTCTTTGCCTTGATTCAATTTTGTTTTTGGTGATTCTCTCTTTCCCATAACATGGTATGATTTCCCTTATTTCTTTCAGTTTCAGGTCATTTATCTAATCAAATCATGTTTTTCATTTATCAGTAACCTAACCTGAACAACTAATACAGGACGTACTTAAGGCTATGAAAGCTGAACTGGAAAAGATGCAGGAGGAGAAAAACTGCATGGAAGCGTGGTTAATAGCTGCTGAAAGCGCATTAAAAGAGACCAAGAGAATGCTTTGGGAGTATAAAGCCATGAAAACACTGGCCGATCATTCGCTGAGAGTTTTCATTGAAGAAAGTGGTGATAACGTCGAGAACAATGGTGAGGATCTTGATGAGGATGCCATGAAGGAATTGGTGGAGGAAGCTATGAGGGACTTTACTGAAGCACTGAACGGAGCTCAATCTCGCGAGATCAGACCAGCAGATGGAAGAAATGATGGAGGCTATGACGGTGGTTCTGGCGGTGATCACTCTAAAGAAAATGGCGGAACCGACGGTGGTGGCCACTCTGAGTAGTAGGCAACAAGGGGTTTTATGGTGATTAGATCACAGTTGTGTTTATGTGTTCTGTATTTGTCAATGTTGTGGTTTCCTTTGGAAACATGTGGGGTTTTATCTGAATAACTTTTTAAAAGTCGTCGGTTTTAGTATCTTTGATGTTTCTATTAGACTTTTGTAATTATCTTTTCTTACTATATGAAGTTTAAAATTTGATAAAATTAATGTTTATATGTTGTCATATTCATCTTTCATCCTTTAGATCCTCTTAGTAGATTTTAGTATATAGTTTACGTTCATAAATAATTTTCTCACGTCGCTCAACTTTAACTTAAAATTATATATCTATATATATAATTCTAATTTAAAATTTGAAGTTCTATAATATATAATTCACATATAAAATTTAAAAAATTCAAATTACATAATTGGAAAAATTATTAAATAATAAAATAAAAGTATAATTAAATTTTAAATTTTTCTAAGTTAAAATAAATATTTTAAAAATTATTTAGAATGTTAATGTGAAATAATTTAAGAAATTAAAAACTTAGAATGTTATGGTAGCAAAATTTAAGAAAATAAAAATTTGGAACGTTAGAGTGAAATAATATAATATAATATAAAATAATAATATAATATAATATAATATAATATAATATAATATAATATAATATAAATTGGGTAACAGGTCAGCAGGTACCCGGTTAAGTAACATATTGTCATGGTTTTCAGAACATGACCGGTTAGCGAACCGGTCATGTTACCGGTTCACTGGTTCAACCGGTCGAACCAGTCCGACCGGTTAAAAGAACCGGACGACGACATAATTATTTAAAAAATTAAATAAAAATACCAAAAATATTTAATAAAAAATAATTTTTTATATCACAAGTCATATTCAAAGCAAGTCATAACATATATAAGTTAAAAACCATAAAATCAAATGAAACAAAATGACTCAAATTAACTACAACATAATATTTAAGGTAAAACATATTAAATAATAAATATAATTATATAACTATAATTAAAAAAATAAATTTGGGGCTAAAAAAATCATAACAAAATGATATTGTTTGGTTTAATTTTTTTTTAAAACAATACCACATGGCTAAGAAACATAGAAGAGCATCCCAAAAGTTTAAAGAGAAAATATGAGAACAAAACAATCCCACATGGCTATGAAACATAGAAGAACATACAAACTAACTTCTATAAATAATAGAGGTAATTTGACATTCAAAATCATGGAGCCTTTTGGTGAGCATTGAGTGAACTATTCTTTCACTTCAATCAAGCTCGAATTTTAGGCTTCAATCGAGCTTCTAAATTATTTTTGAGTTCAAGCCTTTTCGAGTTCAAGTTTCAATATTATATTTCGAGTTCGAGTTGAACTTAATAATTTTTAGCTCGTGAGTTTGAGTTGAGTTGAGCTTACTTTTAAAGTTTTCAAGTTCTAGTCGAGCTCAGCAATACTCGAGTTTGACTTAACTCATTTAACAAATGACGTCGTTTGGTTTAATTTTTTTTTTAGAAAAAAAAAACAAAATTGGCGGTTTTTTCCGGTTTTCAGCCGGTCCAGTTCGAACGGTTCAACGGTTCCGGCTGGTTCACTAGTAGCGGTTCAACCGATGTAGATTGAACCGGACTAGGCAGCGGTTCCCGGTTAAACCGGCCGGTCTGGTTTTCAATACACTGCATATTGTTACCCAGGCCCGACCCGAAAACCCAAAAATTTAACGGATCGGGTACCCGGCCCAGAAAATAGGATATTTTCAAAATAAATATTCGATATTTTTTAGCTTGATCGACGGGCAATTAAGTCGGGTCAACCGAGTTGGGTATTTTTTAACTGCCCTAATCTTAGTATATTATGAAAACCCGTGGAGAAAATTTGATGACTTTGAATTATATTGAAGGTAGTTAATAGCTTTTGTACTTGATCAATTTATAACTATGTTTAACTTATGTTGAAAGATAATTGTTACCGGTAATGATGTTGCAAAAATGAGGTATGTAAATTCAAGTTGGGCACAAATGAGCTAGGTAATTGTTGGTCGGTGGGGGCTATATTTGACTCGGGAGGTGTAGCATTTGATTCCGGAGGTACAACATTTGAGAGGTACAAGAAACATCTAGTTCTCAAACGAGCTCAGGCAAAGCAAATCTTGCTAATGGTGGATACTTGGAGCCAGAATCATCTGTTTCTGCAGCACAAAGGCACAAGCAGTCCGAGTTAATTTTGAGGATTAATAGCAATTCATGTTTAAAAAATTTAGACATGGTTTCTCACATTGGATGGACACAATCCAACAGGCCAAAATCTGATAATCTTGCAACATAAATCCATCTTAGTCTTAAAGGGTAAGATAGAAAGACAAGAAAGGCAGAACAAATTGGTGTTGGCCAATGCTGAAACTTACATTTTCTTTTTAATTTCTGTTTTGCTCTATATCCTGCAAAAAGAGAAGAAAAAGCTCAGATCTCTGCTTGTACCAATAGCCGGCTAAAGTAAAAATGGCCAACTTATCTTAAACGCAAAATAGTATTAACTACAGTAAAATGTTTAACAATATCATAAGAGATTTTACACAAAAATCAATGTGAGGCATATCTCAGTTGGGAGAGCATCAAACTAAAGATATGAAGGTCACGTGTTTGATCCATGTTCACCGCAATTTATATATACTTTCCTTCTTCATTCTCACTGTACCGGAAAATGCCTAAAACGCAGGAAAACAAAACAATTGCCTATAAAATTAATACATCTAATATTCATTTTTTGAATTAGTGACTGGTATCTGATATGTTGACTGACTAATTCAGATTTAGTATCGTAGAAACGAGAACAATCCTCTTAATCTAATTTGCTCTATTCATAAATACCAAGGTTCGAACAATATTCATTTATTTAATTCTAATAAAATATGTATACCTTAAATCTGGTTATTGACAATGATTTACATTTAAAATTTTAAGTTTAGAAAGATGCACAGTTTGTTCTAGATATTATTTATTTTAAGCTTTAAATGTAATATTTATTTTGTTTGCATCTATTACTATTGCTATTGCTATTGCTTTTGCTTTTGCTTTTGCTATTGCTATTGCTATTACTTGAACTTCTTTTTTAAAATTTTAATGTTTTTCAAATTACTTGTTACATGATATAATGTTTTATAAAACCCATAACATTTTGTTTCTTTTTATAAAACATTTTAATTTACTTATAATAAAACATGCATTAACTTAAATAGACAAACAAAAAGAGATGTTCAAACACTTTACCGTTTTACAACAGTTTAATTCAAATGCTTTTCAGAGCGTTTTTACTAAACCTGTTACATGCAAACTAAAATACATTAAAAGTAGACATGTATGTCATATTGTTACTGATGAGGCGACACTGTCTTGGATGTTCGATGATCTCTTTACTCAGCTTGTATTAAACCTACGCGTGAAATAAACACACGTTAAGTATTACTTAGTGAGGCAAAAACTAATCATATAGTGTAATGCACTCGTAGTGCCCATACGGTTATTCATAAACATATTATGAATTTCGTGATTTGTACACTTAGTGCTGAAATAGTTATTCATCAACATATGATGAATTATGTGAGTTGCACACTTAGTGCCGAAACGATTATTCATCATTATATGATGAATTCCGTGGGTTGTACACTTAGTGCTGAAACAGTTATTCATCAACATATGATGAATTCTGTGAGTTGCACACTTAGTGCCGAAACGATTATTCATCATTATATGATGAATTCCGTGGGTTGCACACTTAGTGTCGAAATGGTTATTCATCAACATATGATGAATTCCGTAGATTGCACATTTATTGTCGAAATGGTTATTCATCAACATATGATGAATTCCGTGGATTGCACACTTAGTACCGAAACGGTTATTCATCAACATATGATGAATTTGTAGGTTGGACACTTAGTGCCGAAACGGTTATTCATCAACATAAGATGAATTCCATGGGTTGCACACTTAGTGTTGAAATGGTTATTCATCAACATATGATGAATTCTGTGGGTTGCACATTTAGTGCTGAAACGGTTATTCATCAACATATGATGAATTCCGTGGGTTGCATACTTAGTGCCGAAATGATGTTTCAACAACATATGATGAATTTTGTGGGTTGCACACTTAGTTCCAAAATGATTATTCATCAACATATTATGAATTTCGTGGGTTGCACTCTTAGTGCCGAAACGGTTATTCATTAACATATGATAAATTCTGTAGTGTTGAGTTAATCGATTGATGGAAATGGCCAAGAGGGGGGTGAATTGGCAATTAAAATTTTGGTGGAAGCTTTTGTAGAAAATTGAAAATATTTGCAGAACGATTTAGAGTGGTTTGACTTTCTCAACCAAAGTCTACGTCCACTACCTTAGCTATCCACACTAAGGATTTTCCAACAAATTCACTAATTTGTTCTTTCTTTTGAGGACATAGAGTAACCTTACAACTCCTTCAAGAATTATACCCCAAATTCTTGAGCACGCTCTTTTTCAAAGAGAAATACACAAATTTGCAAACTTACAAGGAAAACCTCACAAGGTAAGATGTTTGCACAATTCTAGAACAAGAAAAGAACACTCAAAAATAATTACAAATGAGCACAAATGGTGTTCTTGAAAGCAAAATGAATATTGAAAGGAAAATTGGAATTCTAGAACAAGAAAAGAACACTCAAAAATAATTACAAATGAGCACAAATGGTGTTCTTGAAAGCAAAATGAATATTGAAAGGAAAATTGGTTTGATTTGCACAAACTTGGTGTTTGTTGCTTTCTCTCTTGTTTCTCTATGATTTCTTGTTGATCAAAGGCTTCAGAACTTGTTTAAATACTCCCTCAATTGATTCTGAATGTTAGGGATGATTAGTTGAGTCAATGGATCCGTTTAAGTGTGAAACCCATTAATACAACAGCTTGGAGCGTGGGGGGAATCGGTATCCCCTCATGGGGAATCGGTTCCCTAAGTGTAAAATTCAAATATTTTGACCGTTAAACAGGGGGGAATCGGTTCCCTCCGGGCATTATGTTTTTCTTAGAGCCAAACCATTCAGGGGGAATC